CAGAGTAAGCCGTAAAATTAGCCAAGACCCCCCTACGGCTGCAAACATCCTTAGCCGCCAATGCACTCTACATCGTTCTCCGTCGGTTTGCCTCCTGGTTCAGCTACTGCATGTACCTCCGCATGCAACAGTGAGACGCTTCAAATTGTTCTCGAAAGCTTGTTGATGAACCATATTTCTTACAGTGACAAAAGGAAAGTCATTTGCTGCTGCTCATAGCTTCTCTCCGAATGACTTTCAGAGCTTCTTGTTTAGGTGCCCTCACTGGACCGATAAACTATTACCGTAATGTGCCGAACGTTCGTCCGCTTGAAGGAGAAGACCGCATATGTAAAGTGAGTTCAGAGATTAGGAGTAGAAGATTTCTCTAGTAAACTATTACTTGGTTTGTCTTCTTCCTTTCTTGTATTCATACGAGTATTGCAGCCTCCCACTCTAATACTTTGGGGAGATGAGGACCAGTTCCTCATCAAAGAAGGAGCTATCACGAGTCTCCAGGTGAGAGTTGTTCACTATATGTGTCACTTTCTGAATTGTGTTGGTTGTGAAATAGACGTTGCAGTGATTATCTTGATTTTCTTTTCTAGTATTGCCAGCACGGTCAGTTGAAGTTCATCGAAGGTGCTTCTCACTGGGTGATGCAGGACGAGCCCTCTCAAGTCAACCAATTAGTGGAAGAGTTTCTTGCCACACCCATTCGCGAACTAATCACGCCTTCTCCGTCGAAGTAGCAGAGATTTAGTGATGTATATGCTGTTTTCCTTCTTAAATAAGTTGCTGTAAAGATAAAAAATAAAATTGTTGGGCTATTGGGATCGAGAAAGTAGCGGCTTTATTGTGCCACGTCGTGGTGTATAGTGTACTTCGCTACGGACGAAGGGTCGTCGGGTCGGGCGGGATGAGTTTGGCGCCGTGCCGAAGCCGTTCTCCATCGGTTGTTAAGCGAGCAAGTGGCAAGAAAGTATCAAATCGTTAGTATCACTTTTTCTACCAGTTGTTGTCGCATTCTGGCTACAATCTGTCAGAGAACAAGGTTTGGTGCTGTAGCACGTGATGCTGCTTGGCACGCCCCTTCATCCGAAGCGAACAAGAGTACATATACCCAATCTCCAGTATCAAATGGGAGAATTTTGCATTCTATCAATTTTAAATGTGCTATGCATCTGAAATTACGGAGACCTCAGTGGCACCAACGAACCTCGGGTACTTGCCCAGCTCGATACATGGAGCAGTCGTAGAACTCCAAAACACATTTCGCGATAGGCCGTCCAAAACGCTGCTCGAAGTGGAATTGAAAAGAAGTGCTGGTACTAGTTGAGGCCATCAAAAACGCCTCCAACGGGGTCGTCTTTGTTCCAAGTAACAATGAAGAATGATTTGTAGAGAGTTCAGACGAGAAAGCAAACAAGTGAGACAGCAAGGGCACCGAGGAGACCAACAGTTAAGCGACACGACAGAAATGCAATGGATTCTCTCGCACTTTCTGAAAAATCGAGTACAATATTGTTTGATTGCGATCCAATGCTCAAGTCCGAGTTCCTTCAAGTAATCGCGGAATGTCCTTTCAACGAGAGCAATTCCTGTTCAAGTGAAGCTGGTATTCCCAAGGCCGGATACATGATGCTTGATGTTTGATCGTTATGAAAATATGGCTCTGCTCAATACATTTTGATGAACTAATCATGATACACTCCAATTCGTTGCGGACGCTGGAGTGTCAAGGACGGCAGGGTGTGGCGCGTTCTCCACCAACTGAGGAAACTGGCGGGCGGCTACAATTGGTGGAAAACGGACTGGCAAACCCAGCCCCTGACACGCCTCTGCGTCTGAGGCGAACGAGACCAAAGTCAAAGCCAGATCCGACAGCTCTTTTCAAGTGGATAGGATCATCTACCTGGCCCTACCTGAGCACTCTCAAACTTCCAGTTTTGACTAATTCCGAAGTTTTGAATCTTCTTACTGTTTTGTCTAATCCCATCGGCTGTTTTAAAGCGTATACAGTGCAATGGCATGTGTCGGTGCACCCAACGCGCCAGTTCTTGATCGAACTTCGCGTCAGACATGCCTACCTTCTCTCCAGGTACCCAGTAGTGCCAAACTCTCTGGGATGATGAAAAATGCGGAAACTATCGTCTGGCTCGCGCAGTTGATCGTGAAGGAAAATTTCCCACTGTTCCCATGTTTATCTTTTTTTCGCGGGCCAGGGGGAGGTCGTGCCACTACAGGTCATGGTTATCAAGCCGCTGGACAATCGTGATGTGCAGTGCTGACAGGGTTAGCGAACGACGTCGTTTCTCCGGGACGAGTTGTCCTGCCCGCACCTCGAGATTTGAGAGTTAAAGGGATAGCTAATATCGGTATCGCCTGGTATGGAGTCTTGCCTACTTTTGAAGACAGCGTCCGGGTGCGTGTACTTAGATACCCGGTAGGCGTGACCAAAATAGGG